TTAACAGCAACCCAGCCTAAATCCGAAACTTTCAACCTGAGCTCTTCAAGAAAATCTCCTCCGTGAGCTGCATATCCTGCCCAGCATACCTGAAGCGCTTCGAGCATATCCGCCCCCATCTGACCACAGGGGCTCAGCTGTGTTTTGGACGCTTCTACTATCATGATTTTTTGCTACTACTGCTAATGCTACTACTATTACTACTAGTACTCCCACTTATGTTCCTACTGCTATTATCATCATGATTCTTGCTATCTTTGTTGTTGTTAATGGTAATATGTTGCCATGGCACCCCTGGACTTTGATGCATCTCAGCTCAGTGCGAGCTGGCTCTCGCCCTCGCCATGCTGGGGGATTGCGGTGCCAATCCTTCACTACCTGCAGGATTGGGTGAAGGTGTAGATGCTTCCTCTGTTGGTCTGGCTGATTGTGCTGCATTACAGTGAGAACTCCACCTGTTTGACTCAATTGTGGGGGGATCGAGAAGTCGGTTGAGACGTATCACTTGGGACCATGGGGAGCACGTATTTCTGCCCCGCAGAAATGGAAGAAGTATGCCATTGTTCGCAGGCCTGTCGCTGGACCCTCACGCAATGTGGTGGAAATTTGTCCGACAAAGTCGGTAGAACTGGTCAAAGACCCACTTGTAAACAGTGGCTTTTCCCTTTTGCCTGAACACCTGTCGCATGCATCTCTTCAAGCCTGCAGAAGCAGGCTAGTCAAGTCCGCGGCCTGCCGTTTTCTCGCTCTGGATGCCCTGACGCGTGGTCTGGAAGATACATGCTGGAGGTAGCGCATTCAGCTTTGAAGGTCGTAGCATTTTCTAGTGGTCAGCTTGAATGCAAGCCAAGCCTACCTGTCCCTGCACTGGCCCTGTCCGGTCACATCATGTTCTGGCCTTGAGAGACATGGACCCTGCAGCGAAGTCTTCCGCCTCCTGGCATGTTCGGCATAGCCCTAGCTTTCTATTGTCCGCTCACAGCATTATGGACGTCATCATCCTAGGCTGCGTGGACCCTCTTGCGATAGCTGAGCTGCTTCAACAAGATGGCTATGGCCTTTGTGTGGCGGCTTGAGATAACTTGTGGTTGAGCATCCAGCTGCACCTCATCCACGGCGTTAAGCAGATCCTGCGCAGCCGCCCGGAAATCCTCGCCTGCGGAATACCCGCAGTGGCAAATGGGTGGTGTACGAAACCTGCAGCCCTACAATTCTCTTTGCGGCATCGGCTACCTCCTGCAGCCTGCTGGAATTCCTTGTCCGTTTGCGTTAGGTGGGAAAACCGTTTCAGGAGCTGGCCAGAAAATTCGGACCCCTTGACCCCAAAGGCAGGCCAACTGCTTGGCCTGGAGACTCCAGAAACTCGATCAAGGAGCTGCGCGCACCTTGTGTCAGCGTGCTCGAGACATACCGGCTTCAGAAGCGGTGCATGAGAGAGCAGCGCTTCCATATGGCTGGCAGTAATTGACACGCATCTCCAAGTCTAGCCTGCCATTCTTGCCACAGCTGCAGGCGTGTGGCCGTGGTGGTCCCTGGCAGTGATGATGTTTGCCATAACATTTGAAGCGCAGAGGTCGTGAGAGTACGTGCAGGCAAGACATGAGGCTTGTTGGCTTCAGCATGCAAACCCAGTCTGCCAGAACTGCACTGTAGCTGAACTGGGCTGTGAGTTTCAACAGAATGCTTCCCACTGTTCTCACTTACACTGCGCGAACCTGGCATCCAGTCTGGCGCCATAGGCACACAGCAGCAGGGTAGCCTTTGCCTGCAGTGCTGGCTACGGCTCTATACACTAAGCAACAGGCATCGCGGGCATTCTGTGCTCTGGGACCCTGGGCAGCTTCCAAATGTATTCAAACACCCTTGTGCAGTCTGATTAACGCCAGGGCAAGATCCCAAAGAATCAAAATAGTTGTATTAAAAACAGCAATAACAATACTAATCTAGTACTCATAATAGTAGTAAACACTTAGGTGGCGAAACATCAAACGGGGCCCCTAATTCATTGGAAGCCCTAAACTCTATGCCCCAATTGGCCTTCCATGCTCCATCTTCCTTTCCATCCGATTCTCCATTATTGGGGTAGATATCCGTATACTATCCCAAAATAAACCCCACGAATCCCCTGTATTCCTATAATATCCCTATACAAAAGCCCTGTGTATCTATATATCTATATATATATGCATATTATATGTGCATCCCTAAACCCTAAACCCTAAACCCCCTGATAAGCCCCCCTAAGAACTCCATGATTTTTGGAACTTCGCATGTCGGAACTTGGCCTCCTTCAGCTCTAACCGCTCCAATCCTGCGTATGCCACAGCTACCTGGCTTGCATTAAGAGGAGCTATGGTCTTTAAAAGGATTTTATAGAGGGTTTAGGGTTTAAGGGTTTAGGGATTACGGTTTATCGGGGACTATCAAAGAGGGTATTCATGGGGATACAAAGAGTTTAGACGATGGGTTATATGGGCTTTAGGATGCAAGGCAATTTGTAGGGTCATGCAGGGATATTATGTTATGTAGGGTCCGGTCAAGGGGGGTACAGGGTCATATGGTTTAGGAGTTGGGATATTAATTGGATGCACTAGTAAATTTATGCTCACAATGGCAAATTCTCACCCTTCCCTCTGAGCACCTGCAAAGTCAATGTTGGCTCGTGCTCCTCCCTACATCGTCATATCGTACGGTACAGTGGTGTGGAGCTTGGCATTTGCCAGCCCGTCGCAAAGACGCAAGTGTGATCAATGGGAACCACCAGCAAAATCCAAAGGGGAATCTGACCTCGAAATTGCAGCTTCTGCATTTAACGGGTAAGTCCATCATTTTGCAGGTTTTCTTGGAGTTAGTTTTCAGGTTAGTCCGGCTTTCAGATGTTGTAGTTCTAGATCGCCAGACGTTGACAAGCTGTTGAGAACCGGCATGTTGTCAAGAGCTCAAGTAGCCGCGAGCAGTGCCGGCTGCAATCAAGTGGCATGCAGTGGGACCACGCCGAAGCTGTTGGCAGCTGAGGGGTCTGCACCTGGAGCAGTGCCATGCATGCAACCTTTGCCGGAGTCATTATGCCCATGGCAACTTCAGACGCTCGACTTGGTTGAGAAAGGGGTAGGGCACATGTCGTGCAGGAAGCAGTAAGGTCAACTTGCTCGGCCTGCCGCTCTGGTCTGGCTACGGAAGTTGTGAGTAAAAACGTTCTCTTCTTAACTTTAGGTTCAGTAACTCCCGGAGCGATTGCCTGCTTTTAAGAGCAGCTCGATGGTCTCGAGCTGCTGGAAACAGTTCGCAAAGTGCAGTGGAGTATCCTGGACCGTCAGCATCGTGCAAGATGTTACGAGATTCCAAGAGGTCAACACATACGCGTCCTGGTCCGCTGTGCGCACAGCGATGTCTGCACGGCTGGACATGAGAACTTCGCACAGATCGGAGCTGGATGTGGCGGAGATGTGAAGCCTCATTGCTTTCTTGCCATCTACCAAACTCGTTACCTGACTTTACCGCGACAGGGCTCTGCTTCTGGATTGCTTGGCAGAATTTGGGTCTCATCGTGAAGAATAAACCACTTCTGAGGGGCCAACGACCGCAGCTGATGTACCTCGGTGCCGGGCCACAACTCTTTGATGCCGTGTTGCAGCGCGAACTTTTGAAACGCGCGTGCACAAGGCGCGAGCTCTTCTTGGATGGCAAGTCTTCTGACTACATATTATCGCACACTAGCTCCTGCATGCTTCAGGACTTGTTTCAACACGAGTGCATTGTGCATGCATGTCGCAGGCGGAAAGGTCTGTACGTGCCGCACTTGCTCAGAACTTGAACCACCCTTGGTAGGTCCAGATGCGATTGCAGTTCGGAAAGGTGAAAGCACATTTCAGCTGCCAAGCAGATCCAACAGTTTTAATCCATCAGGTCAGGAGTCAGCTTTTGTCATACAAGGTCCTTAGATTTGCCTGGATCTGCCCACATGCCTCGGAGAAGACTGGAACATTTGGACACTCGTACGCAGGCCAGGCAAAGATCTCAACGCTGCCCTGCTCGGATCTTTCGAAACCGATCCGCACAAGATCTGCCAACTCCAACTTGATCAAGTCTGTGCCACTAACTAAAGTAAACATGCATGGCTTGCTCAGAGTAAGTAGTGGAACACGCGGACTGGAGACAAGCGCCGTCAGAATCACAACCTTGCGACCCATTGCACAACTTAGGCTGATCTGGTTCTCCTCCTCAGCTTTGGCGGCTTCAAGTCGACGTCTGTTCTCGTCCACATTTAAGGCTAGCCAGAAGTCTGTATGTGATTTTCTGTCATCTGCATGCAGCCCCAACAGCATTTGCCGCAGAAAGCATCTGGTCTTCGTACGCTTTACTCTGCGTAAAGATTCCTGGAGCCTCGTGATCTTGTTTGACAGCATCGCAGCACATTGTTTTGCAATCACAAGGTCCTTTTCCGCTTGCTGAATGGAGGCTCTCAAAGCTTTCTTGTCAGAGCGAGAGCCACAAAGAATGGCAGGAGTCTCATCCAGTCCGCATCCAGGATCATGCCTGTGAAACTTGCTCTTCACAATGACCTTGTTGCCGACATTTTTGGTGGATGCCTTGCAAAGCCAGTGTGGCCAACCATCACGAAGCCGCTGCACGGCCTGCGATTCAAAGCGATGGAGTCGGATGTCAACAGCCTTGCTCTTGCCTTGTCCTTCCAAAACACGCGCGACATACCAGCGACGGTTGTCCAATGAGTAGATATCCCAACCAAGGCAAAAGCACTGAAACGGATCAAATCTTTCATTGAACTCCGTCTGGCCATCAAGGATGCTCTCTATGACCTCATCTACGTCTTCACGATTGTCCGAGAAGAAGCTAGAGACGAAGGCCTGCGTGTAGCGGATGTGCGATGGCCGCATCCTGGTGACCATCGGCTTCCCACCAGGCTTCCTGCAGTGCAACTCCCGGATGATATCCTCGTAACGCGTCAGATCATCTGAGTCTGTACTGCACAACGCCATCACAATCACCGTTGATCCTTCTTGTTTTCAAAAGGAGCAAACTTTGAGCCACACGCTGCAGAGCACTAAGCAGTGGAACTTTTCCAGCAGACTGCACAGCAGGATCCAAGCCCTGTGCGGTGTTGATGTCTGGATCAATGTCGTAGCCCAGCAATAGCTCTGCAACCTGGCAGTCTTGATTATGAAAAACTAACAAGACGATGTCGTTCGGAACGTGCACCGACTTCCCTGAAACAGAAGTGTGTTCCATCTTCCGTCGTAGTGGCTGAACTCTAATCTGTGGTAATCTGGCTCACAAGCGCCCAGCGAACTTCTTTGTCGGCTGGGTGGAGTTTCCAGCAACTCTGGCTTTCCTACCCCAAACCTTCAACATGTCTACGCCGGCATTTCACTTCCCACCTCTGCGTGGCTGCAGATAGCAGCGATGTGCAGCGGTGTCAAGTCTCCCTTCCGTTGGTGCCTCGAACCATGAACGCCAGGGTTCCGCGTATGACTCAAACTCAGGAAGACAGGAATGTTGCTTGCCTGGCTGTATTGGCGAGCTGGATTTCGCTTGCCGTTTTTGGAACTTTGGAATGAAAGTCGAGTCCAACAACTGCAAGCGTGACACAGTAAGATCGAACAATGGCGAACTTTGACATGTGGATCATGCATTCTGAGGGCCACGCCAGTCCTGAACAGCTTTCTTTGAGCCGTTAGCCACAGCCTCAGGAACATCGTCCAAGGGCAAAAACTGCGACAGAGGTATTGCATGGTCTAGCCCCTACATGACCCCTATAGGTATAAGCCTTATAGACCCCCTATACAACCCTAAAGGGACTCATTCCCCTTGTTTGAGCGGTGGATGATGCCGGGCCTGCACCGCTGACAGGGATCCTTCCCAGCAGGCGATATGTAAAGCACTCCTGGCGCCATAGCCTGGGCAGCTCTCTGGGACAGGACTTTGGGTCCTGGAAAGGGAATATATAGGATCGTATAGGGGTAGTGGAATAGAAGATGGAAACCATTTTTGGGGGTTTAGTGCTTAGAGATATCAGCACCCAATGATGGACATGCAGATGGAAAAGAACATAGAACATGGAATGGAATGGACACTACTTTCTATAGATACTCGGATAGAGTTCGGGGCCCGGTGAAACTTTGATTTCTTATGGCTTAATAGGGAATACCTGAAGCAGGGATTATGGCCCATGCTATTTCTATTTCCAGAAATTTCCCAGCTGTCTGGAAGATGCATACAGGGCGCATCAGAACTGCTGTTTCCTCCTTCGATTTTTACTCTACTCCTTGCGCGCGCCATGACATGATGTGGCAACTGCTTGATGAATCTTCCGCGCAGCAAAAGAGCCACTTGTGAGGAGCTCCAGGAGATATGTTGCAAGGATCCTTGGCTTGCAATTTGCGGCGGGACGCTGGCAAACTGTTGAGTCTGGGCGTGCCCGGCTTTGTACCCGTAAAAAACAAGAAGCTTCGTTTGAGGGCTAAGGTTTACAGGGCTCCCACAATTGCCCAAGGCACCTCAGCTTGCCAAGGCTCATCGAATTCTGCACGGTGTGAAGGATCATCGTGTTGGCCAGCCGCCTGTAGCAACTAAGCAAAATTGCCCAAAAATGTAATTGTGGCGCTTTGAGCTTGATCTGCGGCGCCTGGTCCAAGGTTCGGGGAGCGATGCTCCCTGAACCGGCGATTTGCCTGCAACGGAGATTTTTCTGGCTTGGATATGAAGGTTTAGTTGGTTGTGGCAGCATTTTCAAGCCGCGGCAGAAAGCCAGCTTTTTGCCTTCTTTGTCACCGGCATCAGAGGCAACTCTTCCTTGGCAGATCAGTTGAAGTGGCTGCTGCAGCATGGGGTGCTAATACTTCGTACTTCGTCTAGCAGCACTTCCATAAGGCAGGAAGCTGGAAAGGGGCCTGAGATCTGCATAGTTAGGCTGTCATATAGATAATATTGGGGTTCTATTGGGATAATGGAAAATCAAATGGAAACTAGTATAATGGGTAATATAGGGACTACTATAAGGAACATATTGGGATTATGATAAAAAAAAAATCAAATGTAAACTACAGGGATTATAGGGATTACAGGTACTTTCTCTGACAACTAAGCTCATGGCCATCGTAGCCGGCTCGCGCCTTTTTGATGTTTTTCCAGCACACGCATACGCAGCCAAGGATTGAAAGACTCCACAATTAGTAACAAGCAGCAGTGGCATGAGCTCCAGTCTAAAGTCCCAGTATCGCCCTCAATAACCTCCTATAATAATTCCCTATATAACCCCCTTTAAGGAATTTAGACTATAGCTCACATGGGTTTCAATTCCTCAGGCTATCCCCATCTACAGCAGACACGGCCTGGCCACCATGCTTGGCTGGCGTGCCGCGGGCGTCTGGCGCCAGCCTGGCTAAAATCCAGCTTGTAACACTTGAACTAATATTGGGATAATGGAGAATAAAATGGAAACTACTATAATGGGTTATATAGGGACTACTATAAGGAGTATATTAGGGTTCTATGAAAAGTAACTACATAGTCTAATATTCACCCCCCCCAAAAAAAACATGATAATCATATGGAAATGAACATGGAAAATTAAATGGAAACTGGGATTCTACAGGGTTTATATGAGCTATAGTCCAAACTCCTAGTATCCCCCTCAATAACCCCTATATACTCCTCTATATACCCCCCCCTTTAACTCCTAGTATCCCGATAATAGTCCTTTATGTATAATCCCCTATAACCCCTATAATAAAAGCCCCCCCTTTAAGAAGTTTAAACTATGGCGTGTCTGAACTGTTGGAATGCCGGCCTTTGTGGCGCCAGGCTGCCTCTGGCTTCGGGTGCCTTAGGCAGGCGGACCTACGCATAGGGTTTAGGGTTTGAAGTTAGTTAGGGTTTAGGGTTTAGGGTTGAAGTTAGTTAGGGTTTAGGGCTTAGAGTTTGAAGTTTGAAGGACAACAAATGAAAGAGCTACAGCGAATTGTTTGTGTTATCAGATGCTCTTGCCCTGTGGGGCTTAGGGGTACTTGTACCTCTGGACATCCAAGCCTAAGTGGATAATGCACCGCAACTGAAGGATTAATTTTTTGACTTCTGGTGATTCTGGTGCCAGGCCAACATCTCCCAGCTTTTTTGCGACTTCGACCCGCATCTCGGGGACTGAGGATGATACCTTTCTTCTGCTTCCTGCAACGATGCTGAGGGTGACTTCGAGGCAGACGAAGCAATTTAGGTCAGAACCTATTCTGTCGCAAGCACCGGCGAGCACAGCATGCCAGCAAGTTTAGTCGCAGAGCGAAAGCACAACCCTCAGCTGCCGCTGTCCTGATGCCGGTGACCTGACATGCAGGCGGAATTTTGCAATCAGGCACACAAGGCTAAGCGCTTCTAAGCCACGCTCGGAGCCAAGACCCGTTCAACATATCAAACCTGGACGCTCTGAACCAAGTGCTCATTTGGCATGACTTCCATGCCATCCCTCGAAGTGATATAAGCACGGCAGGGCCGCGGCTCCATGTTAGCGGGGCGGGTCCTGCCGACAACATAGGTAGGTGCATGCAAGGTGGATATAGCGCAATGCCTGCTTATTCCGCAGCTCCATCAATTCGACTAGCTGGAGGCCCAAGTCCGCCGGCCTCGCTGAGTGCATTTCTTCTTTGAAGCTCCTCTCGACCTGCGAGACGTGTTGCGGCAGGGTTCGCGCGAGTAGTGGTTTTGATGTTACGTGCTGAGTAGGGCTTTGCATCATTACAAATCCATACGGATGGACCCAGACATCCAATGCGTTGGTGCTTGCAGGCCGCCCCGGCAGGTCATACGGCAGACAACGATTCGACCCACAGATCTTGCTCATGCCAGAACTGGGCAGGCCTCATCATCGCCCTGAGCAAGCTCTGCCACGTTCTGAACCTGATGTAACATGATTTTGGCAGGCGGAAGCGTCACGTCGGGGGAACCATGCATAGCATGCCGGCTTAAGAGGCACTGCGCAAAGCCAGGGCTGCATGCAGCCAGTTAGTGAATTCCAGCTCTGGAAAATTGGTGCCTTGGCCGAAGCATTGCGTGGCGGAACATTGCGTGGTGGAGCCGCGCCGCCGGTCGGTCGTGGCCTTGAAGGAGGCATTTTAATGGAAACTACCGTGTTAGGCCAACATGTTTGTATGTTGATCCAGCATCGTAGGTGTACTTGTGCTATTGGACTTGTGCTCAAAGCAGGACACCCCTCCACCGATCATGTTCTTGTCTAGAATCAGCAGTCGGAAGAAAGTTGAACTGAATAACAAGCCCGATGCTCAGCCTGGGATGGACTCAAGGGCCCTGTAAAAATCTAACCCTTACGATTTATACAAGAATATAGGGGGATTATGGTCCATAATTATTGAAATATATGGGGATTACGGCGGTCCATAATTCTTGACATATTATAGGAGTTATGGCCCATGATTATTGAAATGCGTAGGGATTAATTATGGTTTGTCTTGATTGAGAAACCCTGGTAATGTCCCAGGCTTTTCCTCCTACTCCCAGGGCGTGGACTCCTCTTTCGAGGCTGTGGCGCGGAGTTGCCCAGGATCTTGCCCTGATGTCAGGGAATCTACTACTACTACTACTACTCCTCCTCCTCCTCCTGCTGCTGCTGCTGCTGCTGCTGCTCCTGCTTCTGCTACTATTACTATCCGCCGACCCCGCTCTGCGGGTCGAGC